CTGAGCACCACCACAGCAGCTGGAGACCCGCTGCCTTTTCTGGCATGTGTGCCCGATCTGTGCCTCCGACTGTTTTTTTTTTGGTTTGTTTGTTTTGGGGCCACACCCAGCGATACTCAGGAGTCACTCCTGGCTCTGCGTTCAAAGATCCCTTGTAGTGATGCTTAGGGGGCCCTATGGGATGCCAAAGGTCCAACACGATTTGCCACGTGCAGACATCCTCCTCACTGTCCTTTTGCTAGGGCCCTTCCATAATATTTTTATTTATTTGTTTGTTTATTTGCTTTTTGGGTCACACCCGGTGATGCACAGGGGTTCCTCCTGGCTCTGCACTCAGGAGTTACTCCTGGCAGTGCTCAGGGGACCATATGGGATGCTGGGAATCGAACCTGGGCTGGCCGCGTGCAAGGCAAACGCCCTACCCGCTGTGCTATTGCTCCAGCCCCTCCATAATATTTAAAAGGAGAACAAAAAGCAGGGCCGGGGAGACAGCTGTTGCTTAATGGGCAGAAGTGCAAGAAGATTTGAGTTTAAGACTGCACAGTCCCAGGAGTGATTCTGAGCAAAACAAACAGAACCAGACGCGACCAGCAGCTGGTCTGAGAGAAGGCGACGGGAAGGACCCTTCACCGGACGAGTGTGCTGCCGTCTGTGCTCGGGTCCTCGCAGACCTGCTCAGGGCTCTCTCCTGCGCTGAAGAAACAGCGGGGACAGTGGGCGGGCTCCCACGCTGCCCTTGCTCCTCACGCACCTCCCACCAGGGCTCTGCTGGACTGAGGGATGCAGGGACTCTGGGGGCACCCGTGTGGCTAATCCCACAGTCTTCCGGGCAGCTCAGTCTGTGGACACGGAGATGCATGGACCCGCGGCCACAACACCAGCCCAGGACTTGTCAGAACAGTCCTGAGACATGTGGACCCGCCACACAGCTTCCCAGATCTCCCGAAACAAAAGCAGAAGCGAAGGCCGGGCCTAGGGCCTGGGCTCAGACGCACCCACAGCATTAATCACCCGCAGATTAATCACTGGACGAGGCTGCGCGAGCTTCCGCTCACATACGCGGCCCTGCCGACACTCCCGCACCCGCCAACGAGATGAGGCCGCTGTGAGTAAGAGCCTTCGAGGAGGCTGCCCCGGCCGCTCCCTCGGACCGCCCGGGGGGTGCAGGGAGACCCCCTGAATGCAGCCTGTCCCCAGCAGCCAAGGCCCGAGGTCCCAGGAGCAGAGCCAAGCACTGGGGTTGAGCAGCTGGAGGGGACAAGAGCACTGAGCGGCCTCACGAAGACCCAGCTCAGTGGCACGGCCTCTGCCAACGGTGCCCCCGAATGGAGCCAGGGTTCTGCTGAGCGGGCCTGCAGCCCCCCACTGCAGTCAGGGGGCACCATGGGGGCGGAGGGCCAAGAGCAGCCTCCGGATCACTGCCTGCCCCACGAGGCCTGGGCAAAGGGGAAGTGAGAGCCGCTGCCACCCCGGGCCTCCACACAAGGCCCCCCAGCAGCGCTGTGGCACCCCGCACCCCGCCCCTCGCTGGAAGTGCCACAAAGCGGCATTACTCACTCTCCAGCCCTAACCTCAGCTCTCTGGTTTCTGCTGCTGGCTTTTTTTTTTTTAAGCGATTGAGGCATTTTCGGCTATTCTGAGATGCCGGCCTCACCCCCACCCCACAAGGGGAGCCATGTGCCACGTCACGGGGAGGAGCAAGCACGGAGATGGCAGAGCAGTGGCAGTCCCAGCGCCCCTGAAGAGCAGGAAAGGTCCCCAGAAGCAGACATATCTGAGGGTCTGGGGCACACTGTCCACCTTCCCCTCTCCCCACAGTGCCTGTCCCTGTCTCCGAGGGCCCTGGGGCTTGGAACACCCAGTCACCTCTCCGGTGCCCCCAACTCCGGTTGCGCACGTGACGGTGCTTCAGGCTCCGTGGCCTGTGTATATTGGGGGCGAATCAGTGCAGGGAGGCCCTGGATGGTGACAGCGCTGACCCTGGGACACTACCCCCTGGAGCTGACGGGGGTGCAGGCACGGGAAGCACAGGCAGCTGCAGTTCCTCCTGCTCACACACAAAAATGTGGGGGTCCGGGTGTACCCCCAGCTCCTGCACCACCCCACCCCCACCCGTGACGCAGCCCCAGAGCATGGCACCTTTGGACTCGCAGAGTCACGGGCCCCTCCCGGGCACTTTGCTCCTGCACTTTGAATGCCACGGTTAGCCAGCTCCAGGGCTTGCTCTGCCCGAGGTGGGCTGGGGTGGGAAGCGGCCCTGTGAGAAACTGAGTTTCACGATAAATAACCCCTACCAGGAAGAAGGTGGGCTTCCAGGTGCCCCGGCTTCCATGGGCCCTGTGCCATGGCACACCACAGGGCCCTGGAGCTACACTTCGGGCAGGGCTAGGTGGCGGCTCCAACGAGTTCCAAAAGGCCAAGAACGGCAGGCACAGGGACCCGCTGTCACCCAGAGGCAGCGCCACTTGAACTCGCCGCTTGGGGTCACTGAAACATCCCTGGGTTGAATCCAGCTGCAATAAGCTAACTCACGGCATTCTTGGGGAAAATATTTAATAAGAGTTAGATTAAGAGTACAGCAAGCAGAGTACTTGCTTTTGCACATGGCCAGCCTGGGTTCACTCCCAGACACCCCCCCCCCCCCCCCCCCCGCCAGAGTCCCCTGAGCCTTGCCAGAAATCATCCCTGAGCACCGCTGGGTGTGGCTCAAATTTAATGACCTAAAATCAAATGTGCGTCATTTCATTTTATGAAAAGTTGATTTCTCTGTAAATGCAAATTCCAAATCAACAAATAGCTCAGTGGTAAAACACACACTTGAATGTGTCTTTAAAAGAATAAGTAGAACTCGGGTGTAAGCTGGATGTTGGTTTAGATTAATGATATAAAATGTTTAATTAAATTTTTTTCCCTACTTGAGCCCAGTACCCAGGGTGAGGGGCTAGTCCACAGGACTTCTGCACTCAGAACTGGGGCAGCTGGGGGTCACTAAAGCCAGCAGGCTCGGGTGCCACCCGGGCTGCCTCCCAGCAGAATGCAGAGGGTCAGTGCACTGCAAGGGACTGACGTTGGAGACTTACGCTCGCAAAACCTGCCGTGCCTTTGAGCTATGCAGCCAGTCCAAGCCCGTCTTCTTTCAAACAGACATTTTCATTTTTATTACTTTTAATTTTACTGGGGGGGGGGGGGGATGGACCACACCCTGGCAGTGTACAGGGCTCAGGGATCACTACTGGCAGACCTGCGGACCACATGGGTGTGTGGGGGATTGAACCTGGGTCGACCACCTGCAAGGCAAGCGTTCTCCCAGCTGTACTAGGGCTCTGAACAGGCATTCGTGAGACTGTCTGGTGGGGGGAGGGGCCGGGCTGGAGAGACAGTACAACAGACAGAGGCTAACTGGTCAGGACTCCTGCTTTGCACCTGGCTGGCCTGGGTCTAAGCCACAGCACCACAACGATCCTCTGAACCCCACCAGGAGTGGTCCCTGAGCACAGAGCCAGGAGTAAGCCCTGAGCACAGTGGATATGCCCCCCCAAACAAGCAAAGTACATTATTATTATTATTATTATGATTGGCTTTTTCGGTTATACCTGGTGATGTCAGGGCTTACTCCTGGCTCTGCACTCAAGAATTACTCTTGGTGGTACTCAGGGGACTGTATGGGGATCAAACCCAGGTCAGCTACTTGCAAGGTTAACACCCTACCTGCTGTACTATTGCTCCGGCCCCTTAAGGTAAATTAATTTTTTAAAGTTAAAATTTCTACAGAGCCTAGTTAGGAACATTGCTGACAGCACCTCAATTTCTGTTAGTTTGTGAGCCACGAATGGTATACTGTGTGACTATCATAATCTTAAAACATCACTCCCTTAAAAAAATCTCCCCCCCAGGGCAAAAACCAAAACAAAAACCAAAACCTGTTGCCTCTCTGCCTCGTCACAAATAATCTAGGGACCGTGGCTGCATGTGGCACCCAGGGGAGCACCGGGTGGTGTGACATTGTCCCTGGCACGACTCGGTAGGTCCCCTGCTTCTAAAGCCTGCAGGCAGGGGGTCCAGACCCAACCCAGGCCAGCGCGAGGGTCTCATCACTACTTTTAACAATCTGCCACCAAACGCTTTCTGGGGACCTCCGGGATCCAGCCGCTGGGGACCCGCGCCCAGGGCGCGTTTTCCCTCCCGGTCTGCCCGTGAGGCGGCTGGAGTTCTGCGTGCTGGCCCCCCACCCGCACCCCTGCCGTGACAGTTAAGGAGCCTGAGGCCAACGGAGCCGGGACACCCAGGCGCCTCTCCTGGGAAGAACTGCTGAAACTGTTTCTCTTCTGAAAAGAGAAAAATGAGTGAGTGCAGCCGAGCCACCGGCGAGAGGAGGATGCGCCCACCTCCCGCTCCTTTCCCGGGCTGGGCGGGGGGCTGCCCCGCGCTCGGCCCGGCTTCAGCCAAGCTTGGGCTCGGTGCCCACGGCCAGCCAGGAGAACAAGAGGCGGGGCAATCCCACCCCACCCCCCGAAATCGCGTCCCCGGGCGCAGCCCTTGGAAAGGGCTTTTCACTTTCGCATCGGAAGTTTCGGGGTGACCGCCAGACCCCGGAGACGCAAAGCGGCCGCGGCGGGGACCGGTGCCCCGCGCTGTGCTCCCGAGCCGAGGAGGGGGGCTCCCCGCGCGTCTGGGGGGGGTACGAGCGGGCCAGGAAGTGGGGAGCTGCGCCCCGGCCCCACACCCTTGGGCTCTGGGGGGGGACACGAGGCACACGCGCGTCCCCGAGTCCCCAACGTCCCCGGCGCGCGCGCCTGGAGTCTCCAAGCCGGTTCCACGAGGGTCCGGCGCGCGCCTCGGGGGACCCCGGACAGCGCTGGCGGGCTCCGGTGGGGATGCGGCGCCCCCACTGCCCCGCCGCCGTCCCCGGCGTCCAGCCCCGGACGCCCGCGCGCGCCGGCCGGGGACACCCGCCCCGGGGACACCCGCCGGCGGCGTCGCGCGCCCGGGCCCCTCCTCACCTCCAGGCCGCGCGGCTCCGACTCGGCCAGGCGGTGGCCGCGGGCGCTGGGCGCGGCGGCGCTGGGCGCGTCCTGGGCCCCGGGGCCCCCGCGGCGGGGCGCGGGGCTCTCGGCGCTGTGGATGCTCGGGGCGCAGCCCATGCCGGGCTCAGCCTCGGGGCCGCCGCGGGCGCCGGCGCATCGCCCCCCGGGCCGCGCTTCCGGGGCGCCGGGGGAGGAGACTGGCCCGGGGGCCCGCGCTGGCCTCGACGCGCCGCCGGACGCCCGCGAGAGCCGCCCGCGGGCCGCTGGCCCCGCCGCCCGCGCGCGCTCGGGCCGCAGCAGGCGCCGTCGGGTCGGGCCGCGCCGTCGGGAAGCGCGTGCGGAAGCGGGCGGCGGCCGTGGGCTCCCTCCCGGGCTGCCCGTCGGGTCCAGCGCGCCGCCCGGCGGCCACCCCGGGGCCCTGCAGCGCCGCCTCCCGCGCACACTGCGCCGGCGCGGCCCGGCCCCGGCGGGCAGGGACTGGCCCAAGGACACGCCACTGCGCCCGGCCGACGCGGGGTTCGAGGGCTCCGCGTTGCGTGGCCGCTGACTCGACCGCTCGAGGCGGGGAGCGGGGACAGCCGGGTGCCGGGCGTCGGGGGGCCCTGCTCTGCTGCCCACGTGCCTGGAGACCAGGGACGCCCCAAAGCTCGCTCGCCAGGCAGGGCAGACCCAGACTGCAGGGCTTGCACCTCGCGTTGCCCCAGCCCCGGGCCCCTGGCCTGGGTGGTCAGGACTGCAGTGACCCTCCTGCAAAGGACGACCCTGACGCGGCCGCAGCGTTCGCCTGGAGGTGGCGGCCCGTTGGGGGCCGCGTTACTGGTGGTCCAGATCCAGGTCCAGAGCCAGGGGCGGCCCCTGCCCAGAGCCTCGAAACCGGGGTGCACAGCGGGGCATCCTCGACTTGGCTTTGGCGCTGGCCGCGTGACCTCTCTCCCGGCCAGCTGGCGCGAGGCCCAGCACGTGACTTCAAGGTCGCGTTTGAACACGTTGGGCAGGAATAACCCGGGTTAATGACGCCATGAAAGGTCCCGGCAAAGCGGTCATCATCCCCCGTAGCTGCGCCCAAACGGGGTTTGCGCCTCTGACCCACAGGCCTTCGAGCAGAGCCTGGACACCCCCAACGACAGCCTCCCTCTCTCCCCACACTGACCTTGAGCGCTGACCTTGCAGTGTCCAGGGCCTGATGCTCCAGCCCTGCCCCTCCGCCGCCACTCCTTGGGTCCAGGATGGGGGTGGGGCTCCTTGATGGTCACTCTGCCTCAGAGATGTGCAGGAAGGAGCCAAGGTGGGCGGCATCGCCTTGTTTCTGGGGCCACCCACTCCTCGCCCAAGTTCCCCTATGGGTGCGCCCTCCCAAGCAGCAACAACAGAGAAGAAAGTGAGAGTAAGAAAAGCAGATGAAGTGTCCAGGGGCTGAAGGGCAGCTTCCCCCAGCCCCTTCCTCAGAGGTCAGGCTGCTTCTAGTCCCGTCTGTGTTACACCACACCACACACGCACACACACACCCGCTCACACACATGCACTCACATGCTCAAACACATACACACACGTATATACACTCACATACATGTTTACACGCATGTGCATACATTTATATGCATATACATAAACACACATGCATGCCCATGGAATGCACTCGTGCACACAAACACACCTGCACACATACATGAAATATGGCACACACAAATGCACATACTTAAACACATATGTATGCATGCACATATACTCAAACACAAACACTTGCACATGCATGTAGATGCACGTACTTACATGAACACACATGTGCACACTCACATCAAACACCATGTGTATACACATGCATTCACACACCTGCATGTGCACACATACGTACACACCCTCACTTAACACATATGTCACATCTATACACAGTCACACACGCACACACACACACACTTTGTCCCCTGTTGTGTCTGACGCCTCCGAGTCTCTGTGGGCTCTGTCCACTGCCTTTCTCGGGAGCTTGCTGCCCCCGCCTCTCCGCCTCTGGTCTCACACAACCCCCACCAGTATGGGGAAGCGGGGGGCTCCTGGCACACGAGGTGTGCCCCTTTTACCCACAAACTCCCCAGAGACCCACTACAGTGGCAGCACGAGCTTCACTTGCCTGCAGAGGAGCTGGAGGCTCAGAAAGGCTGAGTGACCTGGCCCAGGTCACACAGCCAGATGGTGGAGGCCGCATGAAGACGGCCCCTGTCTAGCCCATTGGTCTGTCTCTATGGGGACAGCTCTGGCAATAACAAGTCTCCACCTGGAACCTGAGCACAGGGCCCAATCCAGGAGTAGGCGGGAACCTGATCTTCCCTGTGGGCACAGTGAGCTTGCTGAAGTCCCAGGGGACACTCAGACACACAGGGAAGCCCCCAAAGTTAGCAGGCTGTGACTGACTTGCTCAAGAGCCCCACCAGAGCCCACCCCCTTCCCTCTAGGTCCTCACTGCCCAATCACAGCTGGCCCCTGCAGGATGGGCCCTGCTCACGGTCTGATGGGGAGTCTTGGAGGGACCATCCTGGCCGAGATGGACGAGCCCAGGTCACAGGGGGGAGGCCCACATGCATCAGATCCCAGTCCAGCTTCCACTATCACACTGCCCAAGCAGTGGAGGCCCCTGGCCCCACTGGGCGTGACCCCAGCAGTGTCCTTGGTCCTGGCACTGAGGCCACCCCGGCCTCTTGAGTACTGTGCGGAGGCACAGCACCCTCTAAAGAGCCTGGTCACGGGCAGGACATGTCACTGCCAAGTCCCCATGTGGCCCGGGAGGGGTGGGATTTTGCAGACAGATATCGCCGCTCAGGGAACGGTGTGGACGGGGGTCCCTGGATTGTTCCCTTGTATGTCCCCCTGCCTCCCACCACCCCCGTTCTTCGTGGCCAAGTCTCCCCTCTCAGTCCATGGCCCCGAGACACCGTCACTTCCCAAGAGTGAGCCCAGAAGGCAACTCTAGGGGCACTGTACCCCACACAGCCCCGCGTGTACCCCCCCCCCAGCTGTTCCTGGGTTGCGCCTGCTCCCAGGCCAGCATTTCCAGGAACCGGAGACGGTGCCTGGCGCAGGCCACCTGGGGGCCACGCAACCCTGGAGCTCCTTCCCCAGGGCCCTGGGAGTCTCCCTCAGGGACCTTTGCCAGCTGTGCCCGTGACTGTGCTCTCCCGGGGTGGTGGGGGCACAGAGGCTGACGCAACTCCGGGAGTTTAATTTCCTCCTGTGCCCTTGGGTCTCTGACTCGTCTTAGTCTGACCGAACTGCAGCTGCAGTCACAGACGATTGGGCTGGGCAGATGCTTTAGCCCCTGGGTTCTGCTGGGTGTGGCCCCAATGCAACCGACTGATCAGAAAGTCTGAGAACTATGGCAGCGGGCACTGGAGAGAGAGGACAGGGGTCAAGGCACCCCGGTCAGCCCCCAGCACCACAGAGGGTCCCTTAAGCACCAGCAGGAGCACCCTAGAACACACCCAGAAGTGCTCTCCCAAGCACTGCTGGGTGCCCCCACCCCCAAAAGGCAGCCACAGGCAAAATGCCACGCCAGGTCTCAGGGCTTTGTTCCTCTCACAAGGAGTTGACGGGATGCCTCAGGTGCTCCTCCCTCCTCTCTCCCCCCTCCCCTGACCGCACTGAGGCCACGCTAGTGGCTACTTTGTCTATTTCAACAGCGACACCGTGTGGTGGGACTAGAAATCCATCCCAGATCCTAGACTTGCCAGCTCCCTGTTTCTTTGGGCCGGAGGTAACAGCGCCTAGGAATCCCGGATCCCGGGTGGGACAGGCAGGGGAGAGGGGGGCATCCTCCCTCCAGGCAGAATGCAGTAACGGAGTGAAAAGTCGCACTAAGAAGCCCCAGTCGAGGCTGGAGAGAGCTTGCTTCTCATGTAGCTGACCCCCGCCCTGCAAGTGATTCCTCCAAACATTGCCCAGAGTGACCCCTGAGCACTAAGCGGGGAGCAGTCCCAGAGCATCACCTGTATGTGGCCCCCAAATAGCTGGAGCAGGGGGCACTGGCACACTGCCAAATTCCCCCAGGGTGCCGGTCAGATTCTTGACATATCCAGGCGGGTGTGGAGGTGAATGAGGGTCTCAGGTTCTTGCAGGACTCTAACTGGATGATGCCTTGAGGACTTCCAAGAGTGACTTGTGAGCACAGAACCAGGAGTCAGCCCTGAGCACTGCCAAGAGTGATTCCTGAGCACAGAGCCAGGAGCCAGTCCTGAGCACTGCCAAGAGTGATTCCTGAGCACAGAGCCAGGAGTTAGCCTTGAGCACTGCCAGGAGTCATCCCTGAGCACAGAGCCGGGAGTCAGCCCTGAGTATTGCCAGGAGTCAGCCCTGAGCACAGAGCTGGAAGTTACCCCGTGAGCACTGCCAGGAGTAATTCCTGAGCACAGAGATGGGAGTTAGCCCCGAGCACTGCCAGGAATGATTCCTGAGCACAGAGCCAGGAGTTAGCCCTGCACACCCCCAGGTGTGGTCCCAAAACAAAGAGAAAGGAAGAAAATGAAAAGTGAAGTCCTTATTTGGCTGCTCCCAGGCTGGAGGCGCCCCTGCACAGCGCCCTGTGACTGTGTCAGAAGGAGCTGGGGCTGGGCCCTAGAGTGACTTAAAAGGAAACAAGAATTCCCAGGTCGACAGCGTGAAGACAGCAGTGAGTCATTGCAATCTGCACTTCCCCGCTGACCTCCAGCATCCACAGTTCCGCGAGCCGCCCCATAAAAACCCGAGCTACTCTCCAAGGGCCGAAACCTGGCATTCAAGACGTTGGTTAACTTGGCTTTGGGCTGAGACAGTCACAGCCGCCAAGCCCTGTGCTCTAGTCCAGGAGTAAAACCGGGCCCTGGTTCTGAGCTCCGAGGGCAGCAAGGGCGAGGGCAGCGGGTAGGGCGTGTGGCAAGCGGGAGGAAGGTCAGCACCACCTCAACACGGGCACCCGAACAAAAGCAAAACCCGGGGGGTGGGGAGCCGGCAAGGGCGGGCACATGCTCTCTGCACTCAGGGGACGCAGGCTTCCGCCAAGACACCCCGAGGATCAGGCCCCAGAGGTTGCTCCCAGACACCTCTCGGCCTCCTCCTCGCCAGCATCCACAGTTATCTGGGAGCAACCTCCAGGCCCTGACCCCAAACCTGGGTATGTGGCCCAAAATAGAATCAGAAAAAAAAAGTCCTGGCTAGGACCAAGGAAGAGGCCAGCTTCTGTGTCCTGCCAGTCAGGAGGGCCGGGCCACACAGGCCCCAGGAACAGGCCAAGCTGGGGACTCCAAGGCAGTGCCCAGCAAGCCCGAAGCCTGGCCCTGCCCAGGGCTGTCCAGGCATCCCAGAGGAATAATAAACACC